CCAGATTTGCACGGCCCTACTTGGATTCAAATCCTTGCTGGGGGACACCCCCCTCCCCATCCAAGCCTGGCTTCCTCAGCTGTAAAACAGGAATCTTCAGGATCAAAGGGAAGCTTCTAGCACAGGGCCTGGGCACTCTAAGTGTTCCAATAAATAACTAATAGTATTAGCCAGGGGAAACCGAAATCTCAAGTCTGGGACTTAAGTGATTTCCAACAGCTGGGCCCCCTACACACCATCCCTCCCTCTCCCCTACTTGTTCCGCAGGTTAAGTGTCACCATCTGACATGTCTATACGGACTTGTTTGTTTATTGTCTGTCTTTCTCTCCCAAGAAGCAAGCTCCAATGAAAGTAGGGGCTTTATCTATTTCCATCACTATTGTATACCCAGACCTGAAAAAAAAAAAAAAAAAACTGACCATCATCTTGGGGAAAGATCGGCTGTTACCTCTTAAAGGTTACCTGTGCTGTTTTTACTTTCATACTCTTGTCTGTGGATGTGAGAAATGTTTGAAGAAAGGATCATTAGGATTTGATGCGTGAAAGACAGTTTTGAGTTCGGGTGACTGGGAGAGCATGGTGGGGCCTGTAAGAAACTAGGGAAACTGGGAGAGGAAGTTTGGAGGGAGGACAAAGAGCTCAGTTTTCAACTCACTGAGTTCCAGCTGCCAAACTGGAGTGGGCAGTGGACAGTGATGTCTCAGCTTTCCCATGATCCACTTTCTCTTTGTCAGTTTTCCTTCCAGGATGTGCAGTCTTGGTGGGACTGTCAATCAAAGAGCCCTGCCCTCTCTCTCCTGGGAGTGTGAATCGGGAAGAGAGGGACACATGGTTGGGGAATGGTGAGAGCTGATTCATGCTCCAGGTGGGCTCCTGAAGATGCCGCTACTAAGATCCCCAGAACTTCCTTAGCTGTTGTCCTTTCTGAGGCCTGGTTTGTCACCATTTTGCTTAGCCAGGGTCAGTTTCTGTTGCTTGCAATCAAAGAACCCTAGCTGATAAAATACCGTAGGCAACAGACAAGATCAGAGGGCCTCCAGAGAGACCTCGGGGATGGAGATACAAATGCAAGGTAGAAGGAAGTGATAGTTGAAGCCACAAAAGATACCTTTAGTTCACCAAACTAAAGAGTAAACGAACAGAGGGGAGGGAATCAAAGGAACACCTAAAGCAACTAAGAACAAGGTGGCCAGATCAGGTGCCAAGGACGCTTAGTTCCTTGGCGAGGCAGAATGGATCCGAAATCAGAAGCCTCTTTGGGAGCTGAGGACCGAGGCTGAGAAGGGCGTTATCTTAGATCACCTTGATTCACACCGACTTCCTGCTCCCCAATCAATCTCCTGAGATCCTTTGAGGCTTTTCCTGAAAATAAAGTTTTAGGGACAGCCACAGAGCTTCCTCGGCCTCTCGGAGGATGAAGGATCTTTGCCCCAGGGCCCCACAATGAATGTGAACAAAGTGGTTAAAGAACGCACTTCCCCCCATTGTCCCCTAAAGCTCTCAGGCATAAACCAAAATGCCCGAATTCTTCAGAGATTGCGGCTGGAAATGCAACGTTATATGAAGTGTTTCCAATTTGCTTTCAGCCAAATTACCTCTTTTGCTTTAAAGGGCAAACTTGTTTTCTTTGATTATGATGGCGCCCGTCAGTTCTTGACAGCTCATTTGGGTGAACAAGAAAAAGCCAGTGGAACTAGGATTGAGGGGCAATGCCTCCGACTCTGATGACAAAAATCACTGGAGAATCTCTTTTCCTTGAATTCTAATACGATCATTTCATGTCCTTTTTAATGCCACCAACCTTAATATTGAAATCATTTCCAACTTGAGCCTCTCGTTTTACAATTCCTGCCCTGAGAGTGAAGCAAGATTGTTAATGGATGGGGAACTTTAATTGGATCTTCCCCTTTATTTGTCATTAATTCTGCTGATGAACTTTATAAATGGAAATATATCTTTATCATGCAAATTATACCTCGTCCTCATTCAAATAGGCTCGTTAGATATTTTATTACTTTCACTCTCAGAACATTTTGAGGGAAAAAAAAAGATTTGAGCTAAATTATATCTTTTTTCCTCTGGAGAGAAAAAGGGGAAGAAAACCCAACACCTGCAACTACCCTACAAATCCAGATTGGTATGTGGAGAAGTCAGAGGATGTTAAACAAACAAACAAACAAAAACTGGAGAGGGAACTGGGTGCCATCTCACACCTGTAATCCCAGCAGTTTGGGAGACCAAGGTGGGAGGATCGCTTGAAGCCAAGAGTTTGAGACCAGCCCGGGCACCATAGCAAGACCTCATCTCTACAAAGACAATGTAAAAATTAGCCAGGTGTGGTGGTGCACACCTGGAACTGTAGCTACTCAGGAGGCTGAGGTGGGAGGATCGCTCGAGCCCAGGAATTCAAGGCTGCAGTGAGCTATGATCATGCCACTGCAGTCCCACCTGGGTGGCAGAGCAAGATCCAGACTCTAAAGAAAAAAACAACAAAAAACAAGATTGTCATCTATGGGAGACATAGTAGATTGATTCTTTTCTGGTCTGGTTTCAACGAACCCTGTCAAGTAGAGACCTGGAGAACAGACATGTTCTAGATTCAGTTCCTATAGCAGTCAATCAATTTAACAATTGATATTCATATTCATATTCATATTCATATATATTCATACTTGTAAGTATATATGTATATAATTAACAATAACAGTGCATATACGTTTGTATGTATTTCACAACTGAGCTGTGTTTTACACATACACACATCCCTCCCCTCACCCCCGTACACACAGGTACATATACCATGGCCTGAGTAGAAATGCTGGGAGAGAATGAGGCAGTCAGGAACATTTCTGGCACTGTGATGGGGCAAGGGTCACCACCAGCCTCCGTGTCTCAGATTACAGAGTAGAGGAGGCTCATGGGAAGGAGAAAGATTGCCAGAATCTGACAAGGAAGATATTTGGTTGTGGTAGAAACTACCTGCATTCTAATTTTACAGCAACAGAA